TGGAAGACTGAATTAAGTAGTCTTTCTGATGGTTAAGGTGTGGAGTTGTTTATTTGTGAGACTGAACAGAACACCAGGACTATAAAGGGATTTATTTCGGCTGAGAAACAGCAGTGGATTCAGGGTTAATGACGGAGATTGATAACTGGACGGATCTGTGATTGACCTCAATCCCCACTGGCCCAGCACGACCCCAGAAGGAGTAACCTGCTCCTGGGAAGAGCATTGTGCAGCTCCAGTCACCATCCAAGGAACAGCCTTGCGCTGACTCGACCACAGAGTCCAAGCTCAGTAAATCTCGGTCAGACCTTGCAGGGCTCCAAGATAGAGCAGCTTCCTTCCCCACTAGAGCACGCTCTCTGCATGTGAACACCCAGTTCTGTAACATACCTGTGTGCAGATGGCGACTTATAATTCTGGTTCGTGTAGATCTCCTCCAAACTGAATTCTTTCTTTTTCAATCTACAAATAGAAGGATCTCAATTAATCATCAGAGGAAATGAGTGAATTAGCCAGCAGAGCAAACACTGCGAGGTGCACAGATATAAGTCACACTCACCTCTTGGGTTTGGGCAGCCCCATGGGTGTGAGATTAGTGTCTTGTTTGGGAACACTTTTCCGGATTCGGATCTGGGAGACCTTCCTTAGAGATCCCTTCGATTTGCTAACAGATTTGTCGTAAGGTACACGTTCCTGAAGAGGAGAAAACATTGGTTACGACCGAGATCAACGTGGGGATAGCAGGAGGCCATTCCTATTGAGCTTGTTCCACCATTTGATTAGATCATTGCTGATCTATCTTTAATACCATCTACCACCTTGGTCCACAAGCCTTTACCCAACTATAACTACTTTAATTTTTAAGTTGTCAACTGATTCCCAGCCTCAGCAGCTTTCTGTGGGGACAACGGAGTGAGATTTGGATTTCTGGTACAGTTTGTTTGTAAACGTTGTCAACGAATGCAACTTTAAGGTCACGACCCTTATTGCTGTCACAACTGTCAGAGGAAAACGTAGAATCCCTTCAGAGCAGAAACAGGTCATTCGACCCATCAAGTCCACACCAACCCTCCGAACAACAACCCACCCAAACTCAATCACCCCGCCCTAAGCTGTAAAACTCACACTTCCCATGGCTAACCCACCTAGCCTGCACATCCCTGAACACTACGGGCAATTTAGCACGACCAATCTACCTGACCTGCACATCTTTGGGCTGTGGGAGGAAACCAGAGCACCCAGAGGAAACCCACGCAGACACGGGGAGAATGTGCAAACTCCACACAGTCGCCCAAGGCTGGAATCGAACGCTGGTCCCTTGAGGCAGCAGCGCTAACCACTGTGCCGCCCACGTACCTGTTAAAACACCTTAATTAGATCACCGCCTAGCCTACAGAGTACAACACAAACCGTCCTCACCCACTCGGTTCTTTGGGGCCATGGTGGCAGTGGTGACATCAATGGACCGATAACCAGGTCTAACCACTGGCCTCCTTGTGCCCCCTATCCTCCACCCCCACTGACTGCATCTTCTTGGAGCTGTGAAGGTGACAGGTCTCAGACACACCACATCACACAACAGCCTTTAGTAACTGCAGCAAGCCTCTTGAACTCATATGCTCCAATCTTCATGCTGCACTGGTTACATCTCACTTACCCTCGTTACTGGTTGTTGCAACTACCTTTACGATTCATGTAAAGTCTACCCAAATCCCTGTCAACATCAACTTTCAACGGTATCTTTACCAATATCCGACTTTTCCATTCTTCCTATCAAAGTGGGTCATGCCCCATTTCCTCACATCAGTGTCCGATCACTGCTTGCTAACCGATTCCTAATCAATATAACGCCCCTTGTCCCATTAGCCCCAGTCTTGTGTTCTGACCTAATCCAGATCTACGTCAGGCAACTTGCCCCTCATTTCTAATTCACCTGGCCCCGACCTAACCTGAACCACTTCCTGACCGGAGCAGGGGGTCGGGGGATACCTCCTGGATCAAGGTGTTCTGCCCATTGCTGATTTGTCACAATATCTAACATCTGTTCAACCATGTGGATCCCAACATCCTGGAGGTACAGCAAACGCAGCCTGGGGGACAGCCGCACACTCTCTCACACACACACACACACACAATCACACACTCTCTCTCACACACACACA